TTTTTTTATTTGTTTCTTTGTAATCAAGAGAAAAGAGGTGGAGTTTCAACTACAGCGAGGTGAAGAAATCGATGCTATGCTGACAGAGAAGGACAGGAAACTGGCAGAGAAGGAGGCCTATATTGTCCACCTGCAGACAGCGCTGGCAGGAGATCAGCCCTTGGCACCTGCACCACAGCCAAAGGTCATGCATTTTTAATTTTGAGAATTGAAAATTGCAATGTCAAAGGACCTGTGTTTATTTTAGCGTATCAACATAAACTAAGCATTTTTAAATTTTAGAGATATTGTTCTGTTGCTTCTGAGATGTTCTAAAAAAAAAATTCAACTGGGTTTCTTCTCCTCAGGCGGAAGAGGAAAGTGGATCGATGCAGGAGCTACAGCTGCTGGTGCAGAATCTGACCAAGAAGGTGGGAGAAGCAGAGGAGCGCTACAGTCTGCTGCAGGAGCAGACAGAAAGTCTCAAAGAGCTGCTGGCCACAGAGAAGGAGCAGTTCACTCAAAAGGAGACCATGTATAAACAGAATGTATGTGGTTGAAACAGTGCGACTGTAAATCATGCAGATTGTTCAACATTTTCCCGTGAACTCATTTGTTGTGTCTGTTGTTTGTAGATCCAGACGTTCAAAGACATCATCATGCAGAAAGATAATCAGCTTACGGAGATCAACCAGATGCACGAACAGGAGCTCTTCAAGTTAGCAGCCAAGTGTGACGCTAGTGCAGATTTGGAGCAGGTGCCAACACTTACTGCACTGTACTTTCTGAAATCTGTTTCTGTTTCTATGGGGCACACAAATCTTGAAAAAAAATTTTTTTTTAAATGACTCACTCATTACAGATTGACTTCCTTCAAAAGAAAATATACTTCACCTACAGAAGTCACATGACTCCTATAGATTCCTATACATTGACTGTGTGATGGAGTTTGAAGATGTACAGAACGGGGTTTTGTTGCCTGATGTTGAATCTGTTCTATTCTTCTTCTCAGCTTTTGAAGGCTCTGAAACAGAAGCTTCACGAGAAGGAGGAGGTTCTGCTTGGTAAAACTCAGGTCATTGATGTTCTCCAGGGAGAAGTGGACGGCAGGGACCAACAGATAAAGGTCAGAGGAGACGAAGTCGCTATTTATAACATTATAATTTCCATTAATTCTCATGCTTATAACAGAATGACTCTCTAATGTCTAATGTGTGTATTTTCTCTCTCAGTGAGGCCAAAGACTGATGTTTAACTGCTGTTTTTTTTGTTGTTGTTGTCACGCTGATTCTTGCTCCTGCAGGAGCTCACAGAGCGTCTACGGCGGATGCAGGTTGAGCGTGAAAGTTTAGAATCCAAAATGGAGGCGGAAAAGCATGTAATGCGTGCACAACTCCGTGACCTCATGGAGAAACAGCAGGCGGAGGTGCAGCGGATGACGCAACAGCATCAGTCCCTCTTAGATCAAACCAAGCAGGATCTCCTGGTGCAGATGGAGGAGCTGAGGAAAACCTCAGTCACAGCACCCCCTGTCTGTCAGGAGACTTCAGAAAAAGTGCATTCTGATACAATCTTAACCCAGAGAGTGGCTGAACTAGAAGGTCAGTTCTTGATGTTCCATTCACCTCACAGAAGAAGAAGAAAAACCCAGGTCAGTGTTTTTTGATGAGTAGTTTTATTTGTCATGTTTATCTGTTGAAGCTCAAGCAAAGCAGAAAACAGATGAAGCCAGTAAATCAGAGGCCAAGTTCCTGAAGATGAAAGCCTGGTCCAAATCCCGCATCAAACAGTTGGAGGATGAATTGAGGAAAAACCAGGTTGGTAAAAAAAAAAAATGCATTCTATAAACATTGACATATGAGAATGTTTTAACACAGCAGTGAAATAACAACATCTAACTCTTAAAAACTAAAAAAAGAGACTTTTACTTTTCATTTTGTTCAGGCTGGAGCGTCCTCACCAGACCTGAGTGCCCTGCAAAGTCGCATCACATCACTGGAAGAAGAAAAAGAGGAAAACCAGTGGAAGATTGAGCAATATGAAGAGCTCAAAATGCAGAATGGTAACGGAGCAAGAACATCAACACACAGCTTTGTTTTTTTGTCTTTTTTTAAATAAATAAATAACATACAAATGCTCCATCCATCCATCTTTTGTTAGAAATGCTCGAGGCCAAGCTGGTGGTGTATGAGGAGCAGCAGAGAACACTGCAGGCCGACCTGGAGCAGTTCACCAAAAGGACTGCATCTCAGGTCAGACCTCTGTTTTTTTTTAACGTTTATACTTTCTTTTTGTTTAGCATTTTTCAGAATGTTTTTTTTTCTTCTTCTTCTCTGACAGGCCAGTGAGTCCGGCAGTGCAGATGACACTCAGAGCCAAGTCCTGGAGTGGCAGGAGATGGTGTCCGAGGCAGTGAGTGCCAGGGACCGAGCCAGAGAGGAGAAGGTTTCCATGGGGCTTCGTATCACCCAGTTGGAGGAGGAGAGAGAGGGTAAGAGCATTTAGTAGCAAATTATATCCAACTTGAATCCATGGCTGCTGCCAGTAACACACCACCTGGTAACATGTTTTTTTACAACATAAATACAATATAAAAAACCTGCACTAACTTACTTTATTCCCACATACTTTATCTCCAATAGGGTTTTATCACTGCACTCTGATTTTGTCACAAGCCCCTTATACTAAGGGATATTACATAACCATCAGATTCACTGTCATGATACTACAGTACAATGCTTTATCAACCCAACCTGCCCTTATTTAAAAATTCCCCTGTGACACACTGTGACTGTCGTCTCATTCATCACCATTTGCAAGCTGTTTTTGTTCAGCATTAACTTTCCTGACAACTGTGCGTGAACTTGTGTAAACACACAGTTGGGGTATAAGTTAGTCCAACTTTTCTGCAGCCTGATTGAACCAACACTACGTGACCGTTCTGTAGCTCAGCTGATTTTATTTTTGTGTCTTTTTGTGTTTTCTGACTCATCATTACTTTCTTTTTTTTTTCCTTGGTTTGGTAATGGGGAGCATTTGGTTGACCCTGTGATGCCACCCCCTTTACCGCACCCCCTCCACCCTCCAGCCCTGCTCCAGGGATGGGAGCAGCCATACAGAACAGTTTCCCATCAGTTTTGTGCATGCGGGCTTTCCCACACCTTTAGAGGAACTCACTCCTGCTGTGCTGCCAGTGGTTTGACCTTTACTTTGTTTTACTGACGGTTAAACTACGGGCAGCACAGAGATGAGCTGAGTTTGACCTTTATGGGTTTTGGTTTGTTTTGTTTTTTTCCTCCTATCTTGTGGTTTTTCCTCTCGCCTTTTCTTCTGTCTCACTTGTTTATGTCTTTTAATCACCGATCATAGAAAATACAAAATCATTTGTTTCTTTTTATGGTATCACAACTAAACTCGCATTAACACTAGAAATTCATAATCTAATGTATTAACCAAATATCTAGTATTTTATTATGTTTAACTTCAGGGCCTGCTGTGCTTCTGTGTTACTTTGGCTGCTGCTCCATACATGTTCTCCAACTCTGTGTTGTTGTTGTACTGAAAAAATATTTAATATTTATATTTAATTTTTAAAAACTAAACTACACAACATTGTTGTGTGGTACAGACAATCAAAATATATAAAAACATAAAAACGTATATGTATATCTATGTATATACACAGATCTATATATGTAGTATTCACCATTTTTATCATGAAAGTAGGATTCCTTTTACACTTTTGCACCGTTGCAAGATGCCAATGTTAATAAAATATGGTGTAGAATGTTCCTAATAGTTAATGTGTGAAAAAAACCTATTATTTATATTATTTTTAAAGGAAAAAAAAATAGAGAAAACAAATGTATTGGTATTCAAATTATTATTTAAAAATATTCATTTGGTATATAAAAAATGTTCCAGAAGGTATATCTAATTTAGGATTGATCAAGTATTTATAAAAAGAAATATGTAAGCATTATAGACTATTTTAAAAAAAACGATTAGGTTAAAGGCTAAACCTCTGTTACACATTATTATAATGGTTTTTCATGAATGGAAAAGCATTAAAAATAATGAATTTCTTTTTATATTTATATATGTATGAGGTATAAATTAACTTATTTATACCTCATAAGAAACAGAATATTTATAATATTTGTATATAGTTTCATTTGAACTATGATTTGATGTAAGTATGTGGGATAGTTTTAAAAACAACTATGATTTGATCTAAGTATGTGGGATAGTTTTAAAAACAATAATTCAAAAAAACAATTTAAAACCCTCTACTGGGCATGTGTTACACACTGACTGCTGCTTCATCCACTAAAACTCCACTCCTCTTCTCCTGCTTCTCTCAGCACACTTTCACTTTTCATAACATCCCTAATGTCACAAAACAGATGGGAAAAATGTTTTGTTTGAGCCACATTAGCTGTTCAACGCCCTGCTTGCACCTCAACTAAAAAAACGCACCCTGTGAATGGCCGGTAGATGTTCACCCACTCACTCGTCTGTTTCCCATGTCAAATGTTCACAGTCATAATTATCGATCGTCTTCTTCGTTGTTCTCTTCACCTGTCACACACACACACGTTTGAACGCTTCATTTCACCTTTGCTGTGCCAACAGGCGTGCATGGCTTTGACCACAGCGTTGCTTTCCAAAGGTCCACTGCAAAAAAAAAAGAAAAAATTAAAATTAACACAAAGTGATTTTTCTCTTGATTCTCTCTCAGTCTCTGCTACTTTTCTTGCAGTGTCTCTCTGTGAAAAAGAAACAGTTTTATGGGTTTTATGTTTGGTGTTTAAAGTGCCTCATCTTCACCTTCTTCATCCAAACCATTGACACACCTTTACCACCACTACCTCCACCTCCACCACCACCATGCCTCCAAAAACACCTCTCTCTGCTGTTCACTCTGTCCACTCACCCACTTTCCATCCATAAAATACCATCAACCCAAAACCCCCCGTTGTCCCTTTGGCACAAAACTGATTGAGGATGACTGGTTCTTTCCTGGCTGCTCCGATCCAGCACTGGCCACTCGTCAGCAGGAGTTGGAGGAGGAGCTGGATCACGCCCGGGGGCTCGGTAAACACAGGGCAAAGAACCTGAACGCTCCAGGACCAAGAAGCCTGCAGGTAGGAGGATGAAGAGTCTGGATGTTTAAGATGTAATACACAAAATACAACTAATGTATTCTAGGTGATTCCAACAGGTCAGAATTAGAAGATGTTATCCATTTTCTCCATGATCTCCCTCTTTGAGGATCGGTTTGTTACAGACAATAATTGCTAAAGTTTATTTTGTTAGATATATCAGCAAAACAAAACAAAAATTTCCCAGAACTCGTCTTTGGAATGAATTAATGTGAGGACACCCTGATGATGAGCTCTTCATCTGACCTGACCTGCAGCAATCAAACAGTATTTCTGCACCGCGCTGCACAGCTAGTAATTTGCTGGAACAATATGAAGGACAAATTTAAAACAATATCACATATATTCAATTTTAACCCTATAAAAGTTACTAATTTATTGTGTCAGTCCCAAACAAGTAATAATAAATATTTTTTCTTTTTTTTTTCTTCTGAAAATTAACAACTGAAAATCAGATATTACTTTTAAATTGTGGTTCATTAGTCATTAAAGTGAAAGTGAAAATCAGTCAAAGAAATGTATACGCAAGCATAATAAAGTTAGTTTTTTTTTTTTTTTTAAATATTTAATACAGCACGTCTTCACTTGTATGAATATTAGATTTTTTTTTCTTCATTCCCTGCTCGAGATTTACTGCTGTCTTCACTCTTTTCTTCATCCCAGGATGACTTTGAGTTTGACGGACATCTTCCATTCCAGGAGCCGCGCGGCCCCTCGGAGAGCACCACCCCAATGGAGGGAGAGAACATGGGAGGTTGGTGGCCTGAGTACAGTACTCCTGATACAGGTGTGAGAACCACTAGACAGTTTATACTGGCATGCACTCAGTCATCCATACGTTATTGTCGGGCTGGAACCTTGGTTTTATCACAACAGTCGGAACTTATTTCACATTGTGGCTGTTGGTTGGCTTTTTTTTTTTTACTCACACTCCCCCATATCTGGTGGTTTTGTAAGGTTCAAGGTGTTTTTTTGGTTTGTTTTGGTGTAGGGGAAATTCTATTGGTATTTTTACTACACATGGCTTGGTTCAGTGTGATCCCTGGTAACGCTGTAACAAGTTGACATAACCCAAATTTTAACATTTAATTAACCATTCAGGCTTCCGTCTACTATTTTTGTCATCATCTGTGTTTTCTGTTTGACACGTGCATGCTGGTTGAGCAGCCTAGGGTTTTGGTTTTTTGGGATTAACCCCCTGAAGGTGTTGAATTCCTGTGAGGAGATGTACGTAAATGTAGGTGAGACAGTTCTCCACATCTGTGGTAAGTTCTGTTTTGATGTCTGTCATTTGCATGGTTTTGCTTCTACTTCTGAATTTCTCCATTTTCCTTCCACTACACTGCTTGAATTTTAGTTTTTTTTAATTTTCTTGTCTTTTTTTTCTCCTATAATTTTAGTGTTTAAGATGTCACTTTATAATATATTTAAGCTGCAGTCCTTATGTTTTGATTGTCATCCTAATCTGTAATTATTCTAGTTCTGGAAATGTAGAATGATTTAAATTTACATAAAAACTGGCAATGTGAAGTTCAGCTGTTTAACATTAAAAGTATAAAGTATAAAGAAATAGTAAACTTGAACGTCCCCCTGGTGAAGAGTTTGTGTAATAAATATAGTGTAATCTATACAAATGATTAAATTAAGATAAGATTTTAAGCAAATCTGTCTTATTTCAGATAGTTAAAAGTTTAAAACTATATAAAAAACAATAAACGGCCAAAAGAACACAACTACTGTTTGTAGAACATAGACTCTTTGGAATAAAATAATCCTTAACTTCATCCTGTCTGTATAAATATTCCTGTGACCTGTTTTTCTTCCATCTCTCTTCCTTGACATCCACAATGTCTTTTTCTTCCATCTCTCTCTTCCTTGACATCCACAATGTCTTTTTTTTTTCCTCATCTGTCGTCTTTCCCGATGTTTCCAGGTGGTTTACGGTCGGTTGTGGAGGAGCTGGAGCTGGAGAGGAACCAGCTGCAGGAGCAGATCCTGAGTCTTGAAGAACGCTGTCAGGATCTGGAGGATCGGCTGCAGCTGCAGGCACGAATTGAGGCTCTACAGGTAACTTCAATTTCAATCCCTCGTCATCACCTTTTATTTGTAACAATCTAAATATGAAAATGTGAAAACCCAGTTAGTTATTGCATGTTTTCCCTGCCTGAGAACTGGGATCCTGTAACAAACCCTTCTAACACAGGTGACGTTTGATGTAGATGAAGATTTGCAGCCGTGTTGGGTTTTGCAGGTGTGTTGGGTCTCATCTATGTGTGGTGTGGTGGATTGCACCTCCGGCAGTGGTGGCTAATGGTGTGGTGTGATCATTTAACCCTACTCACATTTGAGTGTTAATGTGCCATTGACTCACCGGGGCCTTTAAAACTACCTGGAGTTTTTCACATGGGTGTAAAATATCTTTCTCATTTTGTCGTGGCGACACCGAAAGTGCACCTTAAATCGATTGTAGATATTAAAAAAAAAAGTCTCTTTGCTTGACATCGTGTTATTGTACTTCTTTATTACTTGACTCTCTCTTCATTTATAGAGTAGTTCTCTACACCAGACCATGCAGCACAAGCTAAAACGGAGGGGACTCTGCTAGGGTTGTGTCGGTGCATCATACATCAAGTGTTCTTCAAAAGCTATCAAAATTTGGAACTATCCCTTTTTATATTTTGACAATGATGTTATAAACATCTCTAACAGGTCTCCTGTTGTTTTTAATGTGTGTGAAGTGACTTTATTTTTTTTATCCGTGCTTCACAGTCCTATATAAGTAGTGTATATTAATATTTGTTTTTTGTGTCGCCACAGAACGAGTCGGAGAAACTTCAGAGCCAACTCGCCAACGTCCGAAGTCAACAGGCGAGAGATGCGGAGAAAAATCAGCTGCTTGTCAATAGTCTCCATGAGCAGCTTAGAGGGTGAGCTGCTCTGAGACGAAGAATTTTAATATTAGAGACGTCTTTTTAACAGCAGGGACAGATTATAAATTTTGCACCAGTGATTTTGGTCAATGAAACAATGCAGATAAACTTTTTGATAGTCTGTTTCTGTTTGATAGTCCATTACTTTGTTAGGACATAAAGTTGGTCTGTGAAGGTGTTTGAAACTGTTTCTGTTGTATGATTTTCTTAAGGCTGAGTGACACGCAGGAGTGTCTGGAGAGTTCACTCATCGAAAAGGAGAACTCTTTGGCACAGACATCAGAGAAACTAGAACTCATCAGTGGCCTGAAAGAATCTCTGAGCCAGAAAGAGATTCAGTACAAAGATGTGTCTGAAAAGCTCCTGCAGGCTGAGCACGCTGTAAGTTCTCCCTCTGTTGTTTCCAACGTTGATAGTGACAAACTGCGCGCCAGTGTTTTCATTTGATTCCATTCCTTTCAGCTGGATAACATTTCCAAAAAGTGCAGCAGCTCAGAGAAGCAATGCTCGGAGATGAAATCAGAAATTTCAGACCTCACACAAAAGATGACTGGGCTGAAGGATAAGGTGAGGTTTTTGTTTTTTCCAATGAATTATGGGTTACTATTATAACACTTTGATAATGATAACATACGTCAAGCCTTATATTCACACACTTTTTATTTGTTTTTAAAACTGAAACGTACACAATGTATCCAAAAATTGTAAAATTGTCAATGTATTTATTTTTATTGTTTATCTTTTTTTTCCCAATCAAGCCTTATATTCACACACTTTTTGTTTTCAAAACTGAAACTAACACAGCGTATCAAAAAATTGTAAAATTGTCATGTGTAATGATTTTTATTGTTTATCTTTTTTTTCCCAGGCACAAAAACAAGAGGCTGCCATAGAATCTTTACAAAATGAATTAGATCAAACTAACGAGGAACTGGACAAATTGAACTCCGCCCACTTGGAGGAGAGAGCCCAACTCATTCATGATCTTCAAACCTGTGAGCGGGAAATTGACTGCCTGAAAGACCTGATGGTGGAAAAGGACAAAGAGATATCTGCCCTCTCTGGCAACATGGCAGAATACGCCGAGCAGATCGTTCTGCTGAAACAGGATATAAAAGTCAAAGAGGAAAGTCTGGTTCAAGTGGAAACGGCCCTGAGGAAGGCAGAACACGAGGTGATGATTAGCAGAGACTTGCAAAGCTCCGACCAGCAGGCTCTCAACAACAAACTTACAGAGGTGGCAGAGAAGCTGAAGGACGCGGAGACAAAGTTAGTCCAGGTCCAAGAGGAGAGCCTGAACAAACAGGTCGAAGTGGAGCAACTGGTAAAGCAGGTCGAAGAGGACAATAAAACCATCCAGGAGCTTCGCGGAGAGGTCCAGAAACAGACGATGAGCCATCGTCATCATCTGTCCGAGTGTGAAACACACATTGTCTCATTAAAGGAACAGCTCACAGTATCCACACAGAAAATGCAGGAGTCAGAGTTACTCATTTCACAGCTGAATGACAGAAATGCCAACCACGAAAAAGCACATCAAGACCTTCAGGATAAAGAAGAGACACGTGAAAAAGAACTCAAGTTCTTCAAAGAGGAACATAACAAACTTCTGGCAGAGGTGGAAAAGTACAATAATGAAATGAATGCATTGGCGAAGAAACTAGAGGAACGAGCACAGAGTGAGGAAGGCGCCCACAAGGAGATGCAAGAGAAAGTAGAAGCACTGGAAAAACAGCTACAGACAAACAGTGAACAAGCTGAGAACGACAGACAGAGACTCCACGGCGACTTACAGGCAAGAAATTCAGAAATCCAGAAGCTGAGTGAAGAGCTCAAAAGCAAAGGTGAAAACATTTCCAAATTAAAAAACCTTTTGAAGACCACAAAGACTGAGAAGCAGCAGCTGATGAAAGAGTTGGCGCTGCAGAAAGAGACTGTGAAGGAGCTCAATGAAAAAGTCACGTCCGTTCTTGAACTCAACAGCGGTCTGGGCAGTGAAGTTCAGGGTCTGACAAAAGACAAGGAAAGACTTGTTCTGGAAATTGACGAAAGTGGACAAAACATAGAATCCTTTCGAGTTAAAATATCCATGCTTGAGACGCAGCTTTCACAAAACAGCGTGACTATCAAAGGGCTACACAGAGATAAAGAACAACTTTCTCTTCAAATCACAGAGTTAAATGGAGTCCTGGAGCAGAGCGAACACTCCAATTCAGAGCTGCTGCTGACAAAAACCAGCGAATGTAGCAATCTTAATAGAGTGCTAATGGAGAAGGATGACGAGCTGAAACAACTACAGGAACTCGTGCAGAGTCTGAAAGTCGAGGTGGAGCAGACTGAGCACAGCAGATTAGAAAAGGAACGGGCGGCCACTGACCTTCAGGTGCATTTAGAGGCTGAACGAAAACAACTTCAGGAGGAGCTGACTCTGCTGAGAGAGCAGGAGAGCGATCTGACGTCGAGGTTTGCAGAAAAAGATGCCATTCTGAAGGAAAAGCAAGAAGAGTGCGTGGTTTTACAGAAAGACGTCTCAGCTCAGGAACATCTGGTGTCCAAGTTAAATGCAGATGTTGAGAATCTTAATGAAGAGCTCACCCAGCTAAGACAGAAGCAGCAGGAAAGAGATGGATTATTGGAAGATGCCACTCACAAATGTCAGGAGCACAAGAATGAGCTGAGTGATGCAATGAAGACCATCGAGTCCCAGAGGGAACACATATGTGCAATGGAAGAAAAAGTCCGAAATCTGGATTCCGTGGTCCAGCAGACCCAGAAGGAGCTGACAGACTCTAACAGTAACATCCAGAATCTCACCAAAGAAATCCAGCAACGTCAGGATGCATACGAAGCTCAAGAAAAGGAACTTGCAGAGCAGACGACGTTAGCATCACGACTGGATTCACAGCTAAAGGTAACCCTGGAGAAGAACTTTGATTTGAACCAGCAGATCAACGCGTTAACAGAAGATAGCCAGAGACTAAAAGACGAGTTGTCTCAATACACGACATCGGTTAGCCAACTAACCTCTGAAATCCAACTCCTCCAAAAGAAGAATTCTGACCTTGAACTTCAAATTGTGGAATGTCAGAGAAACATGAGCAACCTGTCGAAAGAGAAGGAAGAGCAGTTTAGGGCAACGGAGGAATTAAAAGACGTCCTAAAGGAACATGAACAGTTACATTCAACGGGTTTGCTGGAAAAAACAAACGAATGTTCAAATCTGATGAAAACATTGAGTGAGAAAGAAGACCTTCTAAAAAGTTTACAGGATCAGTTAGATGGACTAAAAGGGAAACTCACTGAACTCAACAAGAGTTTGAATGACAAAGATGAAGCTGCGCTGGAACAGAAATCTCAGCTGGAGATTCAGCAGAACCATGTGTTACAGCTTCATGATACTGTTTCTGCTCTGCAGGAACAAGGCTCTGTGCTGAAGTCGGGGCTGATGGAGAAAGACTCGCTGTTGCAGCAAAAAGCAGAAGAATGCGAGACTTATCAAAAGGAAGTGGTGCAACAGAAAGACCTCTTATCTCGGCTCCAGGACGAAGTACAGTCGTTAAGACAGGAGCGTTTGGAGACCAAACAGCAACTGGAGCAGAAAGACCAGGCGTTTAGAGAAGTGTCGGAGCAGTTTCAAAGCCACAGAGATGAGCTGAGCAGACGAAGTGAATCTGTGCTTTCACTGAGCACTCAGCTTGGGACGATGAATGAGAATGTGGCGGAAATGGAAGTTGAAATTTCAAATCTGAGGACAACTGTGCAAAAACTCACCACTGAGAAGAGGCAGCTCTTGGAGGAGGAGGATCAGAATAAAGTACAGATTGCTGATTACAAAGACAACATTGAAGCCCTGAATGAACAGAACACAAAAATTAAATCCGAACTTCTTAACACAGTGACAGCTCTGTCCCAAATACAAGAAGAGGTTTCGGATCTTAAGAAATTGCTCTCTGATAAAGAGACAGAGCTGAAAGTGGCCCAGACTGATGTTGAGACTCTTCGTTTGACCCTAAAAGAAAAAGATGAATCTCTGTACCAGAAGGAAGGTCTGATCCAGCAGCTCAGCAGTAACATCACAGAGCACGTGCAGCAGATGAAGCAGAAGGATGATGAAAATGTTACTTTAAATTCCAAAGTTTCCGAGCTTGAAGATTGTGTTTTTAAACTCAACGTAAAAGTAGAAACCCTTACGGAGGATTCGTCCAAGCTGAAAGACATGTTAGATTCAAAGGAACAGTCCACCCTTGAATATCAAAGCCACTCTTCTACTGCTATTGAAAGTCTTCAGTCAAATCTTCACACTAAAGAGAAAGAAAGTGAAAACTTAAAGGAACAGATTTCACATCTGGAGGAATCGGTTGCAAAACTTAACAGCAGCCTGGACGCACAGAAAGCCGAAGCGGAAAACCTTAAAAAGGCTTTAGTGGAAAAAGAGGCAGCTCTTCAACACCAATCAGAGGCTCTGCTGGATGTTCAGAGACGTGCAGATGAGTCTTTGCTTTTCAAAACACAATTTATTGAAAGCACGGAGTTGGTGTCACAGCTGCAGAGCCAGAATGAGCGACTCTCCTCGGAGTCTCACAGGCTCAGAGAGGCATCGGAACAGACACAGATGGCCTTTGACAACCTGCAACAGAAATATGCAGCCACTTTGGAGGAGCTTCAAGTCCTGCGGGGGCAACTGTCCCACCAGGTGGACGAGGTGTCCAACCTGCAGAAGGTTTTAGAAGATGCCAAAAATGAACATCAGTCTGCAAAAACAGCCAACGAAAAGTTGCAAAAGGAGTTATCTGCTGTCTGTCACAAACTAGAGCAAAGCCAAAAACACAACTTGAGTCTCTCAAAAGAAAAAGAAGATGCTTTTTCCACTCACCAGGCGAACGTGTCGTTGCTGACTGTAGAGATAGACAGGTTAAGATCGCAGCATCTTCAAGTTGTTGATCAGATGAATGCTCTGACTGAAAACTTCGAACAAAGAGAAATGGCTCTTCATGCAATCAACAGCCAGTACACAGCACAAGCCAAACATGTCACACAGCTGGTCTCGGAAATGCAAGTGCTAGAGGAGAAGAACAGGCAACAACATCAGGAGATTAGTGTGTTGAAAGCAGAACACCAGCAGCAACTGGAAGCTGCCAGAAATGAGAGTTCACGTTTGCAGGAGGATGTTAAGAAGGTTCTTTCAGAGAAGGAAGAGTTGGAAGGGAGATACCATCAGATGCGGACGTCACAGGGGGAGCTCCGTCTTGAGGTGGAGCAGAAGAGCAGCAGCATGAACAAAGTAGTGGAGGATATGGTGCTGGAGAAGGAGAAGCTTCACGCAGAGGTTAGTGCCAAAGATGAAGAAGTGTATCAGTTGAAAGAAAGTATTCAGACGGTAGAGCAGATTCTGCAGGACTCAGAGAAGGAGTGGCTTTTAGTTCTGGATAAAGAGAAGCAGGAAAAGAGTCAAGTGGCTGAACAACTGAGAAGTATAGAAAATGAGATGCTTTCCAAAGATTTTAAGGTCAATGCTTTACAACGTAACCTTGACAGTTTGCAGGCAAAACTATCAGAAGCGTTGTCCGCCGTGCAGCAGGGCTCTGAGCAACTGAGCGCCAAAGAGCTGGAAGCAGCAGCCTCCAGGGTTCAGCTGGAAAAAGTGTTAGCATCTTTTCAGGAAAAGGACAACGAGAACAATAGTTTGCAGCAGACTCTGAAGTCCTTGGAACGTGAGATAGAACAATACTTTATAAGAAGGTTTGGTCCCGAGAAAGATTTTATTGAGCTCTCAAGAATTTACTCTGAGAGATCATGTGCTCAGGGTGAGAGGAAACCTTTTTTACTGCACATAATTACGCAGTTAGAGGAACTACATCAGTCGGAGGTAGATGCTTTAAAAATTGAGTTGGATAAAACGCGTAAAGACGGAGAAAAGAGTACTGACGAAAGGGAACAAGAGTTTGTTCTTTTAAGAGACTCTGTCAGTCATTTGAAGGCACAGTTGAATGCTGAGTCCGATCATTTGAAGGCAGCTCTTGTGACTCAGTCATCTCTACACAGCAGTCTGCAAGCTAAAGATGAGCAAATCAACTCAATGAACATTCACATTAGTCAACAGAAAGAATTACTGGCTGGACTCAGTCAGCAGATCCGAGACAAAGACGCATCCATTGGCCAAGTCATCGAGTCTGCAGCAAACGAAAGACTGACGCTCAGTGAGGAAAAAACGTCTTTAGTGACTCAACTAGTAAATCTAGAGACTGCACAAAAAAAGCTGGAGGAAATCCACAGTCAGTTGGAGGACCGTATATCTACCTCTCAAAGTGAACTCGAAGCCATTAAAAGTGAGAAACTTCAGCTTCTGAAGGAAAAGAATGAGCTCGAAGAGAAACTGGCGAAATTGTCGAAAGAAAAAGATGCTATGAAGAAGAAGCTTCAGGCTGCGCTCGTCGTTAGAAAAGATCTACAAAAAAGACTTGAGGAGCAAGAACTAAAAAACAAAGACAGTGACAGTGACAAGTCCAAGATTGTAGTTTTACAGGATGAATTAGAAAAAATGAGAACTGAGGCACAGGTAACAGCTCTGACGTACAAGGAAAGTGTTTCTCTTCTTGAGCAAACTATTCATGACAAAGAGTTGATGATTGTTGGACTCCAAGAAGAAGGTGAGAAAATTGCGAAACAGTTGCAGTCGGAGAAACACCAATTACAAACGGCGTTGAATCAGAAAGACTTGAATTTGTCACAAGAACTGAAAACACTGGATGATCAAACCTCCCTCATTGAGCAGCTGAAGTGCAGTGCGGCAGAAAAGGAAAACGCACTCGAGCAAGAGAAAAGTTGTTTAATGCAAAGAGTTGAAGAGCTGCAAACAGAAATAAAGGCCTACAAAAACGATTTAAAGGAAACTTCCTCCACGTGTGCTAATTTTGAAAATGAGCTCGCCCAGGTGAAGACTGAAAAAGCCATGCTTCAGAAAAAGGCCCAAGCTGCTTTGCTAGCACGAAAAGAAACCATAAAGAAAGCTCAGGACAGTGAAAAGAAGTTAACTCAAGAACTGGCCGAGCTCAAAGACGACTACAAGGCTCTGCACGAGCAGCGCTGTCAGCAGACAAACGAGCTGAATGACCTTCAGTTGAACTTTGACGAGAAGGTAAGGGAGCTGGAGGCCCTCCAGAAGATCTCCTTGTCCTACGTGGATGAACTGAAGACTTTGAGGCAGCTGGTTGACGAGCGGGACAAAACTGTTCAAGATTTGAAAATGACTCTGGCGGAGAAGGAGAGCCAGTGCCATTCTCTATCACACTTGCAGGCAGAGCTGAAAACGGTTAAATCCCACGGTGAGAAAATGGCTCTTCAAATGGCGAGCAAAGATGAGATTCTTACAGCCATGGAAAAAGGAACTGAAGATCTGAAGTTAAAACTTCACACGGTGGAAGAAGACTTGGAGAAAGCCAACCAACGTGTGCGAGAGCAAATGGAGGAGATAGAGAAATATCAGCAAGTCAAATTTGAAGAACAGGAAAAGTTTTCGTTTGAACAAAGTAATCAAATGAAAACAGAACTTGACACAGCACTTGCTTTAGTTTCCCAGAAATCCCAGGAGGTTACAGCAATTGAAAAGAAATCATGGGAAACGCAGCAGCAACTTTGTAAGGAAAACGACGTTTTGACTGAAGAACTCGCCAAAGCAAGGCTGCTGTGCTCGGAAAAAGAAGGCAATCTTGACTTAATTAGACAAGAAAAAGAAAATGCCTTAAAGTTGGCCGATGAACTGAGGGAGGAGGTGACGGAGCTGAACAGTAAACTGGCGGAGATGGAAAACCTAAATGAGCAGCAACGTAAAAACATGTCTGAAAACCTTGAGGTAAAAATCAAGGAGAAAAGCGATGCGCTGTTAGCCTCTGAAGCTCAAGTTGCAGAAAAAGAGAAACTGATTGCTGCACTTGAGCTGCAGCTACGACAGCAGACGAAACTGCACGAAACTGCCCTGGAAAACATGAAAGTAGAAGCCGATCAGCTTCGCAAATCTGAGGCAGATGCAAGTAAATTGGGCGATCAGGAGAAGCAAAACAAAGTAGCTCTCCTAACACGGAAGCTACAGGCAGCTTTAGTTTCACGAAAAGACCTCCTTAAGGGAAATGAAACACTTAAAGAAGAATGTGAAAAGCTTTCGTCAAGACACCAAGCTAAAGAAGCTGAATATTTGGCCCTGGAATCAACAGTTTTGAAGCTGAAACAGCATAATATAGATTTAGAAACTAGTGTCTCATTTCTAACCAAAGAGAAACAAGAGCTCAGCGTTGAAGTCAATCACATCCGTAATGATAACCACAGCCTGTCAGCAGCCTGTGACAGCTTAAAACTCACCATAGAAAACATCACCCAGCAAAAACAGGCCTTTTCCTGTCAGCTTGAATCTTTAAAAGACTCTCAAACTGAGGAGCTGTCTAAGTGGAAGTCAAAGCACGCCGAGCTGAAACAAGAGTACGAGTCTCTGTTGCAGGCTTATGAAAATGTGAGCAGTGAAATGGATAAGATGAGACAACTTTTGGAGGGCGCCAAAAGAGAACGACAGGAAGCCCTCAGGAAAGTGCACAAATACCAGACTGAGATGGAGGTCACAGAGAGGCAGTCGAGAGAGCTGGAAGAGGAAAACGGTAAAATAAAAGAGAAAATGCGAAGGTTTTCTAAACAAAAACAGGAAAAGATTGAAGAGCTAGAGGAAGAAAATCGGAAAATAAAAAGTGATTTGGCTGATAATGAGGGAACCAACAACACGGCAATATTGGAGCTAAAAGAAAGAAATGAACAAATGGAAGCAAAGATCCGCCAACTGACAGAGTCGTCGGAGGCGCTGGGAGTAGAACTTACAGAGGTGAAGGCAGAAAAGAGCCAGCTGGCAGGGAAACTGGAGGAAGTGAGCCTTTTATTGGACGAAAAACTCGTGGAAATAAATACCTACACGAACAGCATGCAGCTGAAGCTGGATGAAGCACTGAAACTGAACAACTCACTAACTGCTCAGATTGAGGGCCAGAAAACGGAGCATGGTTCTCAGTTGGAGATCAACAGTTTATTACAGAAAGAGAAACATGCTATGTCTGAAAGAATCGAGACCATACAGAGTGAACACGAGTCCCAGATGGCAGAGAAAGAGGACGCCATTAAAGAGTTGAGGGACATTATTAACAGACACAGCCAGGAGACCATCAGCCTTAATGAGAAGGTGAGAATCTTGGAAGACGACAAGTCTCTGTTGCAAGAGGAGCTGGAAAATACTCAGGAGATTTCAGACAAAGTCAAAAATGAAAATGAGTATTTAGAAACTGTGATTCTCAAGAGCTCTGAGAGGATTGACGAACTGACGGAGTCGCTCCACAATTTGAAAACACAGACCTCAGAGTTGTCCTCTCAGCTGGCAGCAAGTAAGGAGTTGAACAACAAGGTGCGACAGGAAAAGGAAGAAGAGCAACTGAAACTGGTCAGAGAGTTTGAAGAGAGACTAAAGACGGCACAGAGAGGCACCCAGGAACGCTCCAAGAACGTCAACAAGGAACTGCAAGAGCTGCTGAAGGAGAAACACGGGGAGATAAATCAGCTGCAGCAAAACTGTATCAAATACCAAGAAGTGATTTTAAATCTGGAAAGTACTCTGAAAAGCCTTCAGTCAAACAGTGACCATGCAGAGGTGGAACTGAGGAAAAGTTCTGAGAAAATTATAGTCTTGGAGAACAAAAATAAAGAAGTAGAAGCTGAACTGACGAGGCACAAGAACGTTCTCCAGGAGGCAACGGAGAAGATTGAGAGTCTGAAGTCTGAGAGAGACCAACTGGCTGAACAAATATCCCAACAAAGACGTGAGTCAGAACACCAGGCCAGAGAGAAAACAAAGTTGCTCAGAAACGCAGATGAGATTCAAACGAATGCATCTTTAGAAAATCAGTTTGTGTTACAGCAACAGATCGATAACCTGATAGAGATGAAGGATGAAGAGAGTCAGAAGGTGGATGAGCTGAGGCAGCATGTTGACGCTCAAGAGCTCCAGATTTACACACTGAAGAGAGCGGCTGAGACCAACGAAGCAAAGCTGTCGGCTCTGTCTTCTACCTCCCAAGGTGCAAGTGCTGAGAAACTGTGGAACGAGTTGTACCAGAAGACCCTAGGTGAGAAAGATAGTCAACTCCTGGAACAAGGATTTGTCATCAAACGCTTCCTCGAAGACCTGAGATTAAAAGACAAGGAGGTGAATGAGCTGAGAGTGACCAAGTCGAGGCTGGAGCGGACACTGAACGAGTATTCCGTTGCGGCTGCTGCTCAGCAAAGGCAGCTTTTCGTCATGAGCGCGAGCAACGCCGAGCTGCGGGAGATCGTAGACCTCATGGCGGTGCAGGTGAAGGAACTCGGTGCTCAAGTGGAGCGAGTTGAAAAAGAAAATAATCGACTCAATTTGCAGCTGACTGACAAAGACGATGTCATTTTCCAAATGAGTTTCAATCTTCAGCAGCTGGAAAAGGCCAACACAGACGCTGACGCGCAGCTGCTGCGTTTACAATACCAAAATGATAAATACAAGGGAGACTTAGCGAAGCAGGGAGATATAACTTTACAAATGAAAACGTTACTTCAGAGCAAAGATGCAGAAATCTCTTCTTTACTCTCCTCCAGAGATGGCCAGATGTCAGGGTACCTGGAGCAACTCCAGACAAACTACCGTTCACAGGTGGCTGTTTATGAGGAGAGGTTAACGTCGTCACACAACCAAAGAGAAAAGGCCGATAAAGAGCTGAGAGGGCTAGAAGCAAAAGTCAAAAGTCTCAATGTCAAAGTCAACCGATCCGAGCAGGAGAAGGAGCAAATGGCGACGAAGATGGAGTCGTTCAAGAACTCACTAGTGTCTCTGCAGAGTGAACGCGAGCGACTGGTGTCGGAGTACAGAATACTTGAAGCAAAGAGCGACTTAGGGTTAAAGGGCAAAGAAGTGTCTGCTGACGGGGAGGGCGGCGCCAGTAAAGGTCTCAAACATGAAATAAGGAAATTACTACACCAAATGGACGATCTCAATTCAGAGAACGCCATGCTCAGGGCTCAGCTGGTTCGCTACAGAGAAGATTTGAATCAAGTGTTATCCCTTAAGGACAATCAGTTGAAGGTGCTGCTGAAGAAGCAGCAGGACGTTATCAGAAGCCTGGAAAATCAAAAGGCCGCCGCTGAAAAGCAGTCCAGAGATTCTCACCTGGAGTTCCAGCAGAAGGAAGAGGAGAGTGAGTTGTTGAAAGTGGACATTTCTAAACTAACAGCTCAGGTTTCGAAACTGGAAGCAGAAATTTTAATTCAAAGGAAGGAAAAGGCATCCACGGACGTGGGCAAAGTCATTGGTGATTTGAAGGACGCTGTAGCCGCCAAAGCTGTAGAATGTAACGACCTCCAGCAAAAACTGCTTTCTCAGAAGCTTTTAGTCGACGAACTCAGGGAACAAATGCAGCTGCTGGAAAACAGTACGGACCAGAAACTTTCTGAGGCCGAAGACACGTACAATAAGGAACTGGACAAGTTTGATCGGCAGGTAGAGCGGATGAGGGCGGAGCAAGAGACGGCAGATCGAAGGGTGGCTGAACTTGCAAAAGACCTTCTTGAAAAAGAGAACCAATTGTCACAGGCAGAAACTCAGAGTAAAGACTTGAAGGTTCAGAACGACTCTCTGGGCAAGGCCATGGGGGCTTTACAGAATGACCGAGATCAACTGATCGAAGACTTCAAGATCCTCAGAAACAGGTACGACGAGGAACTCAGAGAGACTCGGACGTCACTGAGCAAAGTGGAACGCAGCCTTCAGGACACGACCTCAGACCTGGCCGTGGTCACCAAAGAGCGGGACATCCTCGGTCATAAATTGAATGCTCTAGGGAGCAAAGATGCTCAGGTAGAGTTGGACAAGTTGTTGGAGGAGGTGTCGCAGGCTTTGTTACAAAAGGAAAAAGAACTGACGCGGGTCGTGGCAGAGAATAACACGTACAGCCGTCAGCTGTCGGCGTTCTCCAGCTCCATGGCTAGCCTCCAAAATGATCGCGATCGGCTGATGGATGAGTTGGCCGAGTCTAAACGGGGGCCGTTTCCCAATTCTAAGGGCGCTGATGCTAACGCTGATACAGATAGGCTGGTGAGTCTTGACATGAGCTGTGACTTGGTTTGGCTGCTGCTTGTACTCCATCCTTTAGCTTGGGTTTCATTTCACAGTCACGCTTAGCTGTCAAGTGAGTGTTGTTTTCTGGTTTGTTTTTTTTTTTGTTTTTTTCCTTTTTTTCCATACCACTGCTTTGACTTGCATGGAAGTTCCCTGTGGGGACACTGCTCTGACTTGCATGGAAGTTCCCTGTGGGGATGCATGCTTTCTGGTGTTTTTTGCTAATCTATTAGAGTTTTTGTCCCTCTCGCTTTGTGATTTTGATTGTTTTTTTTTTTGAGATAGTTTTTTTGTGCCTCTCACTTTGTGATTTTGATTGTTTGTTTTTTTTTGGTTTTGTTTTTTCAGAAGACAATTGAACAGCAACAAGAACGCCAACATTCCTTTAAAGAAATGAGCAACGCAAAGGAGGAAACGCAAAAATTGAGGTAGGAAGAAATCATTAAAAAGTCAAATAAATTTTATTAAAACTAGCAGTTTTAGAATTTAGAAATTACTAATGACTAGTCATAAAGAGTTGAGCTGGTTAAGGAAATCAGTATAGAACCATGTTTGATGTGTTTAAAAAATATATTGTTTTAATTTTCTGTATGTGTGCTCTAGGTCAGAGCCAGATAGGACACCTCCTAACCAAGGTAAGAAAATGAATACTGTGTCATTATCAGTTGTGAAATAGACACCTCTAACCAAGGTAAGATGAATAAATAAATACTGTGTCATTATCAGTTGTGAAATGATGTGTTTAAAAAATATATTGTTTTAATTTTCTGTATGTGTGCTCTAGGTCAGAGCCAGATAGGACACCTCTAACCAAGGTAAGATAAATGAATACTGTGTCATTATCAGTTGTGAAATTTCTAAAATGGCCACAGAGAAGCCGTACGTTTATACTACATATAAGAAAATTAGACTAGAAAACAACATTGTGGAAAGATGTGAAAAAAAAGTATCAGATTTTTATGACAATTTTGCAATTTTTTTATCAGGAATCAGTGACACTGGCAGGTTCCAGTGCAACAGACGAGGTGGTGGGTCGTCTGGAGGCCGAACGAGTCCAGCTCTACGGAGACCTGCAGCGCTGCATGTATGAGATTCAACAACGAGACCAGTTCTTCCAGCAGCTGAACACCAAGGTAGAAGCAGAGACGACTTTAACCTCCACCAAAATGTGATTGAAGAGATTCAGTGATGCGCGCTTAAAAACGTTGGTTTACTTCATAAAAAACTGTCTCTGTCTCATCTCTCCCCACACTCTGTCTCACCCTTCTCTGCGTTTCAGAAAACTGTCTCCGTCTCATCTCCCCCCACACTCTGTCTCACCCTTCTCTGCCTGCAGCTACAACAAACTGTGGAGGAGAAAAGTGCCTGTGCAGCTCAGCTGAGAGCTGTTTCCCAAACACTGAGGGACACACAGAACCGCTGCCACTGGTTAGAAAACCAAGTCCAAGTCCAGGCTCAGGTGAAGAACGACACACTTCTCTGAACTCATTTTTATTCCCTTGTTCTGTCAAAATATAAAACTGTCCTGTATATACTGAGAATAGGAAAAACGTCTGTCATGTCAGACGTGACAACTGCCAACTTAAAATAAAACAATATTTGACTTGTGCTTTTGTTCTCTCTGCAGCAGGGCTCAGTGTACGCTGAGGTCGCACCAGGAGCTCCTCAGGAGAGAAGTCGTGAATCTGCGGTTGTTACAACTGGAGAAGTCGGTCAACTACAAATGAGGTAATGTTTTGGAATGTTTTTTAAAAATATTTTTCTACCTTATAATGTAATCTAATTGAGTTTGAAGTCAAACATTTTATTAAAAATATATAATTTTCTTAGCATAAAAGGACATTTTTACTGTCTGCTCTTTAGAGGTTTCCCTCAAGGGTTTGAGTATGAATTTGTATTTGTTATTTTCTGTTCTAACCCACCATGGTTGATTACATTATTAGTTTTACCGTATGTGTGTAAAGACTAGTGGAGTTGGAGCAGAGTCTGGCAGACGAGAAAGCAAGGAGAGAGATCGCTGAGGACGCTTTACGTCTTGCTGAAGACAGGGCAAAGAGGTAGGACTTTTATTTTCTTCTCCCAAAACTGAAAGAACGTTTAAATGGAACTGAATGGATTTTAGTTTAAAAACGTGGTATAGAACCAAGATGCCAAAAGACAAGAGACACCATGACAGAAACACTCATTTCCTCCCTGTGTTGTTACAGTTTGTCCAGAGTCACACAGAGTGACCTCAGCATCGACATGGAGACAGAGGAGGACTGGGACGCTCTGAGCTTTGACCCCAACCAGCCGCTGATCACACGCAAGGTAAACCACCACATTTGCTCTCCTTTTCAATATCACGTGTGAAAACACTTCACTGTCATCATCCGTTTTTCGCTGTGACTTCCGTTTCAGGTAAAAGGGGGCGTGGCCACGTGTAGACGCTGGCTCAGAGGGAGGAGCCTCTACTTTTCCAGGCTCCTAACCAGTCGCGCCCGCTCTAGACACATCTTCCTGGCCTACTTGCTCACGTTGCACGTGCTGGTCCTAATGTGCCTCACTGGCGCCCTGTAGTGGCGAAACACTTGATTCAGACTTAGTGAAACTAAATGAGTTGTAGGACGAGCTCGTGGGTTAGTTAGTGTTACTGGTTAGTTCTGAAAAAAAGACATTTAAAAAAAAAAAGCAAAGTAATTTAGGCGCAAAAAAAAAAGCAAAGTAATTTAGGTGGTCACTTCCAAATGTACAAGATAAAAAAAGAATATATTTTAATGCTTAATTTTGCAACTATGTCTTTTGAAGCTTTGTGTCAAAGTCAGCACTGGCACTCGTTTTTTTTCCGTGATATCAGAAAGATGTTCCCTGGTCACTTTTTTTTTCGTATTGGACAACTATTTTGATTTATTTATTTATTTGTTTCAGCAAAACAACATGACATTGCTGTCTTTTTTTTTTCTTTTTCTTTTTTTATCTCTTTTTTTTAATACCGGCAAAAAGTGGATCCCAAACTGGATCCCATTGTGATTTAGATAGTGACAACGTTTGACCTGACAGTATGAACCTTCAACCAAAGTGTAAACAAATAACTGGGTTTCCGTTAAAAAGTGACAGCCTCTGCAATAACATGAGTTGATGCTTTGTGATTACTGTTATCACTGACAGTGTTCACCTGTAAGGTAAATTTGATGTTTATGAATATATATAAGGGCTAAATATTTTTTTTTAAATTAAGCCTTAGTGCATGAAACCCTTCATTCTCTGTGAAGCATCCAGGATCTTAATAATAATAATTATAATTATAATAATAATAGTCCTGTCGCCTATAAATAACTTATTGGTTTTTTTTTACTCACCCTGTACTGTACAGCAGACGTGAAATGCTGTTGTACTTTGACTTTGACTTGAACTTGAGCTACAACACTAACGACTTGGTAAAAAAAAAAAAAAAATTGTAAACATCGTTTCGAAACATTGGCGCCACCTGCTGCTTTCCATTGCGTCACGCTCTTTTGCCTTTGCACATGATCGAAATGCTGAGTTAAACTATGCACTGAACACGAGTGTAAATAAGAGTCCTGTTCTCTGACACATTAGATCTGTAGAGCCAAAGGTCTGCGGGTGTGTGTTCGTATGTATGTGGGTGTGTAGAGAGTGTGTGTGAGTGTGTGTTCGCTCCAAAGGGGCAGTTTATATTTAATGTTGTGGTGTCTGTTAAAGGTGACTTGGGCAAAGAACGTGTGTGTGTCCAAAGGGGCAGTTGAGGATCTTGAAGTGTGGTTGTATATAGTCGGGGTGTTACATACTGTACATGACAGTGATGAAAAAAAAAAAAAGTTTGACCCACCTTATGAAATGTTTTGAAGAATATACATATATATATATTTCTTAACTCTATTTTCACCTTTCTGAAAAAGATTGGATACACAGTCTAAAACATTCCTTTTTATTTTCTTACGTCATGTGACTCAGCAAAACAACATAATGTCGCTGTGGTCTTTAGTCTGCCCTAAGACCTGCCTTATTGTCTGTAACTTCAGACAACCTCAGGTGTGTCCAGGCCTGACCTAAACCGTAGAATTTTATTTTTCAAATTTGAGTTTTTTGGAGTAAAAAACTGTTGCAGTTCAGTCATATTTTCAGTTTCATATTACAGTGAATTCATCGTATCTGTAAACAAACATGAACCAGTATTTACAGTCACTGGACAATTGACTGTCAAAGTCAAGTACAAGCAGAACCAGCAGTGTTTTAAACTGATTTAGACTTTAATTAAAAACACTAACACTATTGTAATGGTTACAGGGGGCAACAATCCGTTCTGTTAATATAATTTTTTGTTATTATTATCACCGGGTCTTAGTGTGTTTGAATGAGAACTTTACTGTCATCAGAATGTCATACAACCCACTTTAAAATCATAAAAAAAACTGTTCCTTCAAAGCTGTATTTATTGTCCGTTTCTGCATCCTGAGCTGTACAGTCTCTGATACGAATGTACAGTGAAGGCCTGATGTCTGAGGTTGGAAAATATGATTTATGATTGAAGTTAAATGATTGTTGAGAAGAAATGGTTTTTGGTTTTTGGAGGTGTGTAGGATTTATAGCTTTCTTTTGATTTGTTTGTTTTTTACATGATTGTAATTACCTGTACATAGAGCTGATTCCTGGACAAATGAACTAAATCTATTTATGACAGACAACTACTGAACTACTGAAGAAAATGTTGAAGTGGCATATTTTGTTTTTTCTCTTCTGCCTCTATTTTTATTGTCTGTCCAGGCAACCCTGAGGCTTGAGTCGGTGCAATAAACTGAACTGTTCAAGGTCACTCTTTAATAAAAACACACTCAGCTGTGTGCTTTTGTTTGTGAAATGAATGGTGTCCTCTTAATAAACACACTTTGTTTTTCATTCAGATTTATGCGTCTTTGTACGTTGTAGTTAAATCCACATTCAGTCGTATGTTGTAGAATTGATGTCATTTACACCTTTGTCAAAGACCTGAACAAAGGATGCTAAGAAAACTGCATCTATTGTAGTAGACTTTGTGTGGTAATTATTTTTTTCTTGTATGCAATTATTAAAAAAATAAGTTAATTAAAAGAAAATTCAAAGTAAATCTAAAAAGATATTGGATCTGGCATGTGTAAAAACATTTGGTAATCTTTAAAAAAAATGTTTTTTTCGTGAGTTTCATTTGATTTATTTCACATGGATTTTGTTGTTACATCATTTGTGTAATCTGTTCAGTACTGTACGTTTCCGTGGTGACATGGTTGTAATGACCTCTTGAAACCACTTGATGGCAGTGCCATTAAACGCAAGGAGCTCAAAACGGCTGAAAATAACAAAACACATCTGTATCATTAACGTCCTCATTTCGACACTTTTCGGTTGTTTTTTTTATTTATTACACATTAATGAGGATATATTAATGACTGAAAGTAACTATGGGATGTCACACTTCCAAAACTATGAGGCTTCTTTTTTTCCAAACAACCAAATTTATGCTAAGCTATGGCCACACAGCATGATGAGGTGGGCTGACAACCAAATTTATGCTAAGCTCTGGCCACACAGCATGATGAGGTGGGCTGGATTCGGCCCGTAGGCCTTGAGTTTGACAACTGTATTTTAAAGCCTTTGTTTTTTTTATATAATTCCCTCATCATGTCCTCCTTTTTTATATAAAGTTTTGATTTAAAGTTACTGTCAGTGTGACTGTCAGGTTGGGATTTGATTCCAGCATGGTGTGGCACAAGTTTTATTATTAGCCAGATGACAATTATGAAATAATTGGTCTGATTTCTCCAGCAGGGTCGTCTACAAAAATTTTTTTTTTTTTTCACTCTCATTTTCCACTCAAAAACAACTCTTCAGTCAGAGGACCTGATTCTTGTCCCTGTTATGGGCTGAATTACTTACCTGTGGTAAATTTGGAATCTAAATTATTCTTTCACTGCTTTGAAAATATTTCACACGTGAGTTTTGTCTGTCCTCCCCTCTCTGTGACCCACTTGCCTCCAGCTGCAGAGAAGAAGGAGAAAAAAAGGGGGAGGGGAGAAGGTAGAGGTGAAAACATGTGGGTGACTGTTATGATTAATGTTCTTTGAGAGACAAAGTGAGAGCGAGCGAGAGAGAGAGAGAGAGGGCAGGGAACAAGGGCATCAGTGATGTGTGACAGTGAAAAAGGAGAAAATTGTAGGACGCAGGGTTCGAACTGATGCTACGTCACTGAAAATGGTCGAATTCTTTCTGCGTAGACTGTTGTTCATTCCAGATCATTAACCTTCAAAACTAGAACAAGGAATTCTCCGCAGCAGTCGCTCTCTGACCGATGGCACATTTAAAACTGAAACCTGAATCTGGACATTGTGCTGTCACTCTGTTCGTTGGTTTGTTGGGTCTGAGGTGGGTGTGGGCTACAAACGGATAGATGGATGATGGAAAGATGGATGGATGAATGGATGGGTGGATAGATCATGGTTTTGAAGAGAGAGAAAACTATTCATTTATTATTAATTCATTAATAACTAATTATTATCCTGAACTCTTCTGTCTGGGAAACGTTCATGATGCTCACGTGGAATTTGATTTGAAACCAGTGAATGAACTTGAGAGGAAAGACACCCTTGAAAAATGATAGATGGATGATGGATGGATGGATGGATGGATGGATGAATGGATGGATGGATGGATAGATAGATGGATGGATGGATGATGGATGATGGATGATGGATGATGGATGATGGATGATGGATGATGGATGATGGATGATGGATGATGGATGATGGATGATGGATGATGGTTGATGAATGATGGATGAATGAATAGGTGGATAGATGAGATGGGTGGATGATGGAGAGATGGATGGATGATAGATGGGAGGTGGATGGATGATAGATGGATGATGGATAGATGATGGATGAATAGAATAATAGTTGGATACAGGCACATATGGATGGACAGATTGTGGAATGTGTCTTATGCGCACACCTTCTTATAAAGAACTTTTGTCCATAATTACAATTTGTTTGGGTCGTTTGCACCATCCAATGGACATTGTGCTTATTTATAAGGTGGTATTACCTGGACAATGACTCACGCTGTTCTCATCATACTGTACAGCCCTTGTTTGCCCTTTTCTCGATCGTGTCGGCGATTGCAAAACAAAATCCACCATCATTCACCTGTAGAAAGGTGCACGACTGGAGCAGCTGATGGTGATGTAGTGGTGAACACGGGTGGAGGCAGCTGCAGTGTCAGAGGAGAAGTCAGTTTTCACACTGTGACATTAATGATGATTAAACAATGTGCTGGGAGGAAAAGTGAAGGCTGCAGTGGTCGATGCTTCTCATCTCTCCAGGGGGAAACAAACCCAGGACCCTCTTCAGATCAATCAGCGTGGATACGATCATTAAACAGCCCACTTTGATCCTCCCCGTACCCATGAGATCAATCGTCAGCGAAGGACAGAGGGAGGCATACTCCTCCATCCCAGTCCTCCCCCCACTGATGTGCAACTCCTTATTTTTCCTCAGTTGTAGATTTTTTTTTTTTTTGCACGCTGCACAAATTGCATGCATTTAAAATATAGATGTGTTTTCATGCCATAAATCCATAAATCTTTCTTCATTTACTCCAAATAAAATAGTTCAATTAGTTAGACATCTGTCACACACAAAAAATGTTTTACAATGTATTTATTTTATTCTTATAGAAAAATGCTTGACAACACCGCATACATATATTTTTTGTTTTTATCTCTGTATTTAAACAGAATTACTGCTGTGATGATTATGTATTAAAACAAGCACAAAAAAAAACACGACAATTATAATATTGACCAAATCTCAGTGTGGAGATGCAGATAATTCAATTGAAACAGATCAATCTCCTTAAAAAAATGTCACAAAAATTAATTGACAGATGTTGATGTGGTTTTTACACTTCTTCTTCTTCTTCTTCTTCTTGTTCCTCCGGTTCCTCTAATTCATATGTGTCAAACTCAAGGCCCGGGGGGGCAAAGTGACACCCC